ATTTTCTATCAACTTACAACTTCCTGTTTCCCCTGGTCAGCTAACCAAAAAGCATTTCTGCAATTACACGGGTATAATAATGATGATTGCGATTAATATTTATTCATAGTGCTGCACATTGTGATATAGTTCTCTTTTTTGTCTATTAACTCATCCTAATGACAGTCATCATTAAATGCTGTAAACCTTGGGGCGCCTGGGTGGCGCAGTCGGTTAAGCGTCCGACTTCAGCCAGGTCACGATCTCGCGGTCCGTGAGTTCGAGCCCCGCGTCAGGCTCTGGGCTGATGGCTCAGAGCCTGGAGCCTGTTTCCGATTCTGTGTCTCCCTCTCTCTCTGCCCCTCCCCCGTTCATGCTCTGTCTCTCTCTGTCCCAAAAATAAATAAACGTTGAAAAAAAAAATTAAAAAAAAAAAATGCTGTAAACCTTGAACTTTAAACCAACGCAAGCCACCAGCACCCTGCCAGACGAGGTGCCACCTGTGATCCCTATATTACCTAAGAGAGCCTCTCACACAGTTTTACCCTCGAGCCACTTTATTGGATTGTGATATCATCAGGATGGAAAGATCTGGTGGTGGGTGAAATCATTGGATTTTGACCCACCTGTACTGAGGGGAACAGATGCCACAACCCAGTTCAGCCCTCTGAAGGTGCATTCTCAGGACACTAGTCTCACACTAGTCTCTCTCTCTTTTTCTCTCTCTCTCTCTTTAGGACACTAGTCTCTTGAGGTGCACCTTGAGAAAGGTGTCACATAATTTTAGATAATGCTGCTCTCAGACTGATTCTATTGCCCAATATCATACAAAAAGTTCTAAGAAGTCCTACAGTTAAGAAACCTTTCATTTAACAAATATTTCTCGAGAACCAGGTACTATCCTAGGCCCTGGGGAAACAGGCGTAATATAACACCAGTGTTCGTTCTCAAAGACCTTAAATCCTATTTCCGTTTCACCTACAGTTCCTTGTGCCTAAGTTCCAGTTTTGCTAGAGACACTTATTACATCCCCCTGCGATGAGGTCTATTAGCCACTTGAACAAAGGAGTCTGGAGATTAGGAGAGATCAGGGCTGCAACTAAAATTTGGGAATCGCAACATGTAGATTTAAAACCATAAGTCTGAGGCCACCGAGAAGAAGAAAGGGGGCTTGAGATAGAGCTCTGAGACTGCCAACCTTCAGAGGTTGAGGAGCAGAGGAGCCAGCAAAGGAGCCTGAGAAAGGGGCCGGTGAGGTAGGAAGGAAACCAGGAGAACATGGAGGAGAGAAGGCAAGCAGAGAAGAGACCTGCCCTCTTTGTTCAATCCAGAGCCCTCTGTTTCTTTGTCCGGCTCTTCCATAAATGTCCGCGAAGAATTAGGTATGGGTTTAACTGGGAGACTCAGGACGGAGTCCGTGTTAACCGCTGTGCTCATCTGAGATCCTAGGGAACGAAACCCACTTTATTTTGGACCCCACCACTTAGGGTAACCCATGAGCGTGACGCATCGGTCTCACCAGACGCTAGGGGCCATGTCAGGGCAGGGCACTTCACACTTCAGATGGAGATCTGTTATTGTCACTAGAGAGAAGTAACAAGAGTTGTGGGTTGGGTCTACTGAGAAAACACATGTGCAACTGAACTTCTGAATAACACAGTGACGGCTTGAGATTTTGCAGGACGAGTGCCATCACTCTCTGTTTTGTCACAGTGAATATCTACTGAGGTTCTGAAATAGATGGAGTGCAATGCCAGGGGCAATAGGCAGTACAAAGATGAACGAGATGTGGGGCTAGCGTTAAAGAGTTTATGTAACCCACCTCTCAGGATAAGAAGATTTTACAAGGTGAAAGTACTGGGAGGCTTGGGACCAGAACTTGAATTGTCTTTGATTTCTGTCAAATCATCTATCAAAGCGGAAGGCTGTGAGGTGTGGAGCAGCAAAGCCTCCCCAGAAAGGGCCGGTTTGTCTCTGAGGCGGCGGCGTGGGCAGGAGTGGTTAATGCCCCACGGCAGTTCTGGTGGGAAATTGTGCCCTGCCTACCCAGAGCCTCAGAGGCAGATACAGAGCAGGACCACGTGCAGATTAGACCTGGCCAGTCAGGTCAGAGATACATGGTGGCCACTGTGACCAGAGTGACCAGCAAGGCTACGAGGGGCCTAGTGGCACTGCTAGTGAAGTGACTGAGCAGCCAGAAGGTGGTTCGTGGACAACCAGGTGAGCTGAGGCCTGCCCACAGGAGACAGTCGGCCAAAGAGGAAGGGCAGCCTAGAGAACAGATAAACAGCGAAACACAGCAAAGGAGTGTGAGGGAAACGGAGTTACCCCAGGCCAGGATGACCCACACAAAGAGGAGACAAAGCTCAGATGGGGATCTCCTTCCCATCATACCCTGGGCAGAAATTGATCAACTGTGTATTGAGTACTTGCTATGGAAAAACAGAGCAGTACCCCAGCCCCGAATCTGCTGGAAGGGATAGATGAGTAAACAGATAATTACAGGAAACTATGGTAAACAGGATGGTGGATGTGTCAGGGAGGGCTAAAGCATCCTGGACGGACAATCCTCTGGACTTGAGTTAGAGAAGATAAATCAGAGATATTTAGGCCAAGGAGGTGGTAATGCCAGCATGGGCGAGGTCTAGCCCTGGCGGGAGGATCTGACTCAACTGGTCATCTGTTGAGTCTCGTGATCCCCACCAAGTCTGCAGCTGGGGTCAGGGAAGGATCCTCCAAGGGACTGATCAGGTTGTGAAGCAAGCCCACCCCTGAATGAGGAGGACTGTGCCTGGGCGTAATGGCTCTGCTTAAATCACTGCTTTTAGCCACCCCTTCCCAGGAAGGAGTCCAGGAGAGACAAAAAGGTAATAGCTGAAAACCACAAGCAGTGAAGTTTCAAAGGAACTGTTGGGTGAAGAGGGAGACAGAGTGTGGCTGATGAAGGGCATGCAGCATGAAGGCAGGTGACACAAAGATCTGCCCACTTATGTCACTTTTTCCAGGGGATCTTAGCTGTGGAAAAGGCTGATGATGGAATTGAACTATGCCACAGGTTTTACTGAGTGCCAGTGCTAACAGAAAAGAGAGAAAGGAAAGACCCTTCCGATTGTAGGCAACATATGGACATGAATCCTGGTTTTCCTAGCTAGTTCTTTTTTTCAACGTTTATTTATTTATTTTTGAGAGAGACAAAGAGCACACGTACAAGTGGGGGAGGGGCAGGGAGAGAGGGAGAGAGAATCCAAAGCAGACTCCATGCTGTCAGTGCAGAGCCTGATGCAGGGCTTGAACCCCCGAACCGTGTGATCATGACCTGAGCCAAAACCAAGTCACTTAACCGACTGAGCCATCCAGGCACCCTGTTATTAGCCAGTTCTGATGATGCCCGTTAATTATGTTCAGTTCCCTTTACAGTCTCAGTCGTGTTTGGATTCAATTACATGGTCAGCCAAGATTTAAGTGATACATAACAGTCTGACTTGGAAAGTAAACGAGGAGAGGAAAAAACATGAAGACCTCCCTGAAAGGTCATAGAGTGGGACAGTAAGTAGGTGTAAAGTTTCAGGTGTGTGGCTTAGCTCCAGGTAACACAAGGTCCAGGGGCTGGGTGGCAGAAATAGGAAGTTGGTCCTTCATTTCTTGGTGTCGATGTTCCTCAAGATGACAACAGGATCCAGGGCAAAGTAAAGGACAGAGATAGTCAAAATGAAAGTCCAGCAAAGCATCCAACCAGACACAGAAAACGGACAGAGGCTGGGACTGGCGAGCGGAGGGCAGGGGTCCCCACCTCACATCCCCTAAGTGCTCTGTGTGTGCCCTGACACTACACTTCAAATGTCACAGCTGTAGGGACGGTCTCTGTGTTGCTCTGTGCCTGGCAAAACATCTGGGACTGTGTGTGTTCAATAAATATCCATAAAATGAAGGAAGGTAACGCTTTGTATCTGGGAGATGGCTTTCATTCCCTCCGTTTCCTAGATGAGTGAGTAGGCCTATCTGGCTCATTTGGCAAAGCTAGAACTCAAACATAGGGCCAGTGTCTGGCAGAGCCCACATTGTTGATCACCACAGTATATTGGTTTTGGTGGTCAAAACAAGGCAAATGTTATTGGGGGGGGGGGGGATCTACATACTTATGTGTACACACATACTTATTTATTAAGAGCTTATTCTACACTAGGCATTATTCTAAATGATTTACTTATTTTTAGTCCTCTCCCAACCACCCCCAAAAGCCGGCGCTGTTAAAACTGAGGCAGCAGGAATACAGTGTTCAGTAACATGCCCAAACAGTCTGGTTTCAGAGCCCATGCCCTTAATCACTGTGGCTTGCTGCCTCTTGACTTGCCAGTGAATTTGTGTCCATGTTTATAAACAGTGTGACTTATTTCTTGTGAATGCCTTTGTTTATCCAGTCCAGATTTCTAAACTCTGAGCAAGCACTGAATTAACTCAAGCTGAATCCAGCCGGCGGGTTCTGCTCTCAGCGGGCCACCCGAGAGGTGTAGTTAGAGATGTGAGATTCTGTGGACAGCCTGTTACACACAGGGGCAAGTGAGAAAATGAGAAAACACATACACAGATTGTTAGACTCAGAAGAAAATGCTCAGAGTCTTGGGAGAGGTACCACAAAGCTAGGAATATAGATGTCTAAGATTGAAATGAGAAGGAAAGGTAGAATGTCCGAAGGACCATGAGGTGGTTAATACAACCAGAAGGGTGTGGGGATGGGGTAGAGGCTCCAATTTAAGTTTCAGTGAAAAGAACAATCAGAGCGTGCTTCCTGGGTCTTTGTTGGACACTGATTAGCGCCAGCAAAGAGTGGGGCACAGCTCAGGTACTTGAGGTTGCCAGGAACTTCAGTGAAAGGGCGAGGGGCGGGAGGCACATGAGAGGTAAATTAGCAAGATTCGTTTTGCTCTTGCTAAGATTCGTTTTGCTCATTAAGGGAGCTGCACTTAGCTTTGAATTCAGGAAATCAGTAAACCATAAGAGGAAAATGAACTGTTCTGTTTCAGACTTGCACACCTACCCCTGTGGAGCGTGAACCTTACAAGGGAGAAGTCGTCACACTGAAAACTAGAGAGACAAAAGAAGACGCTGCAGCAGGGACCAGGAAACAGGCCCACCCCTGAGCTGGGTGCTGTGGGTAAGGGACGGTGGGCAGAGAAAGTATTCCTGCATGAAATCAGCAGCTCTGTCTTCATAAGCTTTTGAAGAGTCCAAGGTCAATGTCAAAGGCTTCAAAGTGACAAAAGACTCAAGGACAGGTTAGCTAAGGGAAGACTGATAAAAGACCTCTTAACACAGAACACTTAGTTGAGCCTGCAGATTGAAGAAGGCCTTGGTCTATTTCGAGATTTATTCTCTGAGATGTTAGGAAACATTCAGCAAAGCCTTGAAGTATCAAATGTGAGCATACAGAGGGACCTGTTAGTGAGGAAATTTGACACGTCTTAAAACAGTGTAATTTTGTGGTCAAAATTTATAAACTATTTAATTAGGATCTTATCTAGAAAACAAATGTTCGTATTGTAAATGCAATTATGTTCTAGAACTTAGAATGAATGAAAAAAATAAATCAAATGTTGCTTTGGGGTGTATAATTTTTCAGGAAAATTATTTGATAGTCTTTGATGTACTTCATTGCACACTTAATTCTTGGAATAGTATTGTAGATATGGTCATTTTGGAAAAATATTTCAGTGCTTCCTCCGTTTTCCCTTAGTCTTTTGATACCCAGATCTTTCTTTTTTTTCACGTATCTATTATCACCATTCTTGTTAATTTCTTTCCTTCCTTCCTTCCTCCCTCCCTCCCTCCCTCCCTCTCTCTCCCTTCCTCCTTTCTTTCCTCCCTCCCTCTCTCCCTCCCTCCCTTCCTTCCTTCCTTCTTTCCTTTCTTCCTTCCCCCTTTCCTTTCTTTCTTTCTTTCTTTCTTTCTTTCTTTCTTTCTTTCTTTCTTTCTTTCCTATTATTTTCTGATCCTGCTCTGGCAGCCTCTCTCCAACACCACTTCCACTGGCTTCATGAAATCTGCATGTTTTGCCAGCTTTAAATTTCATTGGGCTCTAATTTTTTTTTTAATTTGTGATGTTTTTGGCTGTTTCAACACATAGTGATCTGCAAAAGACTTATACGAGGGGTCGACAGGGTAAACGGGGATAGGTGTTTGTGTTAATTGGGACACTGTCAAAGGACTACTTTTATACATACCCACTTAGGAGTTGCACATTTTTTCACTAGGACAACCTGTACTTCCCTAAACCCCATGACTTGAATCATCAGGTCCTGTGTACTCTGGGTTATATTCTCTTTATTATGGAGTGCTGTCTTTAACAATGCTATGCAGCCGAAGCTTCAAGTTTTTTGTCATTTCCTGACTATTGGAATTCTTTTTCCAATCCAGGAAGATTGTGTTAAAAATTCAGAGGAAGATTAGCAAGAGGGAGAAATTCTGTTGAATGCTATAACATGCTATTAACATCATTTATAGGAGCAGGATTAGTGTTTACTTTGATTATAGCGTTTCTTGGGGGTTAGGCTTGAGTTCTGCATCTCTTTATGAGGGAGAATGTTATACTGAGTTCCTTTTGTTCTGTTCAAAGGTAAAATCAGAGAAAAGAATTCTGCTGTTCCCATCACTGTTAAGTGTCGTCAGCCCGTGGAGAAACAGGCCTCATTTCAACTCCCCAAGATGCTTTTGAAAAAATAATCGCTCAAGGCCTCTTTGATTTCCTTTCAGAAGCAATTGCTGTCTTTCTCACTGTGACTTTGTTGCTGCGTAAGATGGAAGATATAAATGACTATTATTGTGATGGAAAGTCCATGTGAAAATTCACTGATGATACTTTAAAATTCCATCTTTGCTTGTACTGGATTTCTTGCTTTGAAATTTTAAAAATCACTTTCTTGTTTAAGGTTGTTTTAATGGCTACCATTTGTTTAAAAATAGCAAACTCTGTGGTTTTACATCCTATTCTAATTAATAAACATTGAGATCTGCATTTTATATCCTGTTTTCTGGGTCATGTGTATCTTCTAACTTACAGGGTTGAGACTCTGAGAGGTTGGTTGTGATTCAAAAGCACAATTTCCTCTGTGACATCTGTTTCAGTAACTCCTGGAAATCGGATCCCTGAACAAACCTCATGTAATTAAATTGGATACTCAACCTTAGATTAAGTCTGAAGCAAATTACCCAATCACACTGATGAGTGCAGGATTTGGAGGAATTAACAAGAATCAGCATGGCTGATAGATGCTACAGTGATACCTTCCCTCCCCTATGCTTCCGGGTCTGTCCTGTGATCCTTCTGTGTATGCAGAGAAGCTGAGCTTCTGTTTCTTCTCCTAAGTAACTAGGTCAAGAGGAATTTTTAAAACATGGAGTAAAATCAGGGCAATTATGCTCTCACTGCAGATACATCTACCCCTGACTTAACTTAGATCAGGAGTGTATCCACACCTTTGACAAAGGGTGATAGGAATCCAGTTTATCCAATTCTAATTTGTTTTGAACACACAGGAAAAAATGACAAAGAGCTACACCTGAAGAAGAATCATGGGTCTTTTTTGTCAGGGTAGAGGTACCTTAAAACATTTGATTAGTATTCTCCTCTGCTTTGGTTGACAATGGAAACCCCTCAATAAAATGTCTGAATCCTCTGAAAAGAAATAGTGAAATTGCTTTCTTACCTGGAAGCCAGCTCCCACTCATCCTTCAGTCTTTGGCCTAATATCACCCCTTCTTAGAGGCTTTTTCAGATCCAACATGAGAGGTCACGTTGGGTCATATTTGTCCTTACCAGAGCCCGGCTTACGCCCAGTCACAGTGCCTGTGTCAATGCGCTATAATCACTGCTTTACATGACTTCTCCTCCCGGAAACTGAATGCTCAATCAGGGCAGGGCCCGTCCGGTTCAGATCATTTCCCCAGCATTTAGCGGAGTGCCTAGAAATTGATGAGCATTCTATGCATATTTATTAATTTTTAAATAAAGGAGGAAACGAAGGAGTTCCTGCTACCTTCCTCAATTGAGACAGATGAAGTCAGTAAGAAGTCTGAACAAAATAGGGGCAAACTTTGTGGAGTATTTTAGTCTATGGCCATACCACCATGAACGCACCCAATCTCGTCTGATCACGGAAGCTAAGCAGGGTCGGACCTGATCAGTACCTGGATGGGAGTATTTGAGTGTAAGCTTGCTTTAAATGAAGAGTACCCAGGGCGGGGGGGTGCTGGGTGGCTCAGTCGTTGAGCATCCAACTTTGGCTCAGGTCACGATCTCGGGGGTTCGTGAGTGCCAGCCCCACATAGGACCCGACTGTCTGCCCTGAGCCCACTTCAGATCCTCTGTCTCCCTCTCTCTCTGCCCCTCCCCTGCTCATACTCTCTCTCTCAAAAATAAATAAACATTTACAAAAAATAAATGAAGAGTACAGATTCATTGTCTGTTTGATAGATCCTTTTTTGGAGAATGAAATCTGTGTCAACAAAGTCATTTGAAATGAATGTGGGGATCCCTTTGTTGCTTTTATGAGACTTGTCATGAATATTTTTGCAGAAACGTAATTCTAACTAATATTATAAAGCCATAAGAAACCATGATTCAAGCTATTAATATTTAATACCATGTTTTTCAGGACTGCCTCTGGTATACAAAGCGAGGTCCCTTTGTCACTAAACAATTGCATTTTCACGGTCTGTGCAAAAAATAGATGGAATGACTAGCATTCCATTTTTAAAATTCAAATATGAGTTTATTAAAACATACAAAAAGCAAAACAATTAACATAACCACACCTATGTACCTACCATCCCATTTAAGAAATAAAACTTTAACGATACCGTGCAAGTGCTATTTCCACGTCTCCTACCTGCCCCAAGGTAACCAGAGCTCTGAATCTGGAGTTTTATTCCCACGCACATCTTCCATACCTTTGCGATACCTGCCCATATCTCTAAGCATTGTGTTGTATGGGGTTAAATCTTATAGAAACATTATATAGTATGTATTGGGGGTTTTTTGTTTGTTTTCTAGTGCCTATGGTATTGATTCCTGCTTTTTTTTTTTTTCTTTTACAGCCAAGGTGTTTGGGAGTTATTTGTTTTGTTTGGTCTAGCTCTCATGATCCATTTTAGCAACATAATTTCCATCATGTAACCACACCACAGTCTATTGACCCATTGTCCTCTTGACAGGCATTTATGCTGTTTCCATTGTTTTGCTATCACAAACGATGCTGCTACATGCATTTCTGTGCAGGTTTCCTGGGACGCCATTCGAGCTCCTCCAGGGGACATGCCTGTGGTGAAGAGTGGGGCTGCTGGGTCTTACAGTGTGCACATCCTCCCCTTACTTCAATACTGGCAAATTGTTCTCTAAGTGAAAAGTTGTGCTAATGAGGCTGAGCTCCTTTTCACTGTGCAGTTTCATTGGTCTAACTGAGCCTCAGTATCTTCATGTATAAGATAAGATAGTATCAGCCTAACACCTGAGGCTGCTGCAAGGGTCAGGAAGCCTGTACTGTATGGTCTGCACAAGCTTGCTACGATTTCTGTGCCATATGACGAATTAACACCCAGAGATTGTCTAAATCTTGACCCTGCTCTCTCTGTGGGAAGGAAGCTCACCAGGCTTCGAAAGAAGCCGGCCGCTTTGGCAGCCTCAGGAGCATGGAAGCCTAGACTAGGAGGCAGTTACAGAGGGC